ATATCTTCTGTTAGGCGGTTGCTTAGCGATATCGTTTCATGAAAATACCTAGGTGGCTATCATTCCCCAAAATTGCTCTGCTTGCGTCTTTTGAGAGTATTTTTTAACTTGACTTGGACAAAGCAGGGATACTGAGAAGAGCTATGATGCCCTATTGTAAATTGGGGATTGACGTAAATTTCGTGAAAAGATAGTTAAATTTATCTTCTCTTACAGTAAAAAATCATATTTGTTTACAAAAGAGAAGTTATACAATGTCGTTTCGCCTTAAAATTGTCTTCTCAACTGTTTTTTGTATTAAAGGTGAAGGACATAAAATAAGTCCTTCAAGGCATGCGCTTTTCATCATCATAAAAATAATTTACACTGTGACTTTCTAAACGTTCAAGAACCCTTAGCGGAACATTCATCCAAGATTTATTTCTTCATAAAAAGGAATAATTTAATACAAATCTAGGTTTATAAATTTGCCGTTGATATTTGGCTAAATTTGGAACTTTGTTTTCTCATAAAAGCCTCTTCACAGGCTCTTCAGAGAGCCTTGCAAGCTGAGATAAAGTGGCCAAGTGCAAGCACTTGAAGCAACTCCATTTCATGCTTTTTTCACACAAACTACCGGCTCATTTCTGTGAAAACTCTGTCTTCCCACAGATAGCCCTATCCTCTCCTTAGGGGTGAAGACATGTTGTGAATGTTGTCTGGTACCAAAATAAAGGGGTCGCAGCAATCCATCGCAGCTCAGAATACTGTTATAAAGCAATCTTAGCAACATCTTCAATTCCTGTTTAATTAGCTACCCACTCGTGCAGACTTGCACAACAATTGCTTGTACTGGGAGCTTTTCTACAGGAACCAATCTCTAACATAACGCATAGTTTATATTATAGCAACTTCCGTAAGGTCTATTTATCCTTTATCTTAACCAAGTTATTTATATGGGCCGTACAGATGTTGGCTCACTTTGCTAATGGTAGTGATTTATACCGCAACTATGATTTTAAGTACCGTTTCCTTTGTAGCATACACTCCGTTTTCCTGTAGCTCTTTTTATGATTTCACCTGGTTGGTAGTGACGTTGATGCAGTGTCCGAGTCTCAGAGACTCCCATGCAGGTGATCGGGTTGTCGGGCCGAGAAACAGAGTGTTTCACTTGGTATGGCCTAAATTTGTCATGGCAAGCCTCACCACATGCATGACCCGACTAACTGGCCCAGTGACTCTACCTTTTTGAATGCCTCGTCAGTTCACACTCGAGTAGGCTTGAAGAGGCCAACTGCCTTGGACACGGGGGTACATGTGCTCGCTTGCCCGCTGGGTGGTGACACTTGGCCACCCCCTTCGGAGATGAATTTGCGCCACTTAAGCTCTTGCTAATGCCCTTCACGCCTGACCAACCTTTACGCATGGCTCCTCCTGCTTCCGTCTCTGTTCAAGGGATGGGTTTGCGTCTGGGTTCATGTGATGATTTGTTTGAACAATCCGCTCTGCTTCCTCCCGAGTCGCCTCCTCCGGTACACTCGTCACCCAATTCCAGGAGTCTGTCCTCACCCTCGTTCTGCCATGCCTACAGGGCGTAAGAGTAAAGTCAGCTCCATTATTGTCATTTCGATTGTTCATGTTACTGTGACTGCTCTTTCGTCTTAATCTGGACATCTAACCTCCTCTCGATTTATGTAATGGCCCATATAAGGTGGGTTGTGTCGGGATTACAAAAGAAGAAATCCGATCTGGGATCAAATCTGTTGTAGCTAAATGGTCTGCCATTATTTTCACAATAACCTTCTTTGCATAAGTTGCTTACGGCCCTGCAAGGATTGGGGGTTGACTTCTCTTGTAATAAGATGAGTAGGCCTCATGAGGCCCAAAAGTTAATCCCATAATTTAAAAAGCGAGGATTAACACAGTAAATCGAATAGGAGCCTTTGTCCGAAATAAAGATAAGGCCATAAAAACAACCGAAATCCCACTTTTCTTATTTTATATGCAACTTATTATATCATAAAATAGAATAAAAGATTACTTAATCTTTGAATCAGGCGGGCTAGTTAAGGACTTCTTTGCAAAGTTTTAAGAGTAACTTATACATTTAAAAGGAGATATATGCATTATTTATATCAATATGTTACTAGCAGTAACAAAAATATTTTCAAAACAAATTTCTTACTTATAGATCTAATGAATCCATACTTAGCCTATTTAAAATGCTAAAAGAAACAAGCAATAAATTATATATATATATATGTATATATAATAATTGGCAGATCCCCAAGAAACAATAGCTTAACCCATTTCCAATAATAAAATAGCAAATAAATAAAAAAAGAAAGTAAACTTTTTATAAGCACTATTGACGAGGGAATAATCCTCAAAGCTCACCATTTCAGAATAACCTGGTAACTTGTAGCCATATGAACGTAAAATCTGATTGCTTGGTTATAGATAAACTTATGTATCCAAAACACAAATTGTTAATTTAATCAAAAAGCGATAAGTTCATTGTAAGGTCAGCACCCATAAAATCCAAATTGATCCATATGAATTTAATATAAAACCATAAAATATCAACAA